AGCATAGTGGCTATATCGCTGGACTCCCATGTAGTCAACCATAGTTCAAGTCCCGGACCCGGTGGCTTAAACTCATGCTGGGCATGTGTGTGTACGTGCCTAAGATCCCTAGAGGAGAATGGAGGAGAAGGGATTGCAGTGTGGCCATCCCCCCCTAGGGGTGATTTCTCACTTTCTGTCTCTCTGTCTTTCTGGCAAGTGTATGAACCCTGTAGCAAAAACCTCTCCAAATAATAATAATAATAATAATAATAAGTGGACATCATGAGAGAGATTTTTGCTGTAGGGCACATGCACTCACTGGAGACAGAGTGAGAGAGAAAGTAAGAAGTCACCCCACAGGAGGATGGCCATGCCACAATCTCTTCTCCTCCATTCTCCTCTTGGGATTTTGGGCAAGCATTACACATGCCCAGCGTGAATTTTAAGCTGCTGGGTCCGGGACTCAAACCATGGTTGACCACGGAGTCTAGTGCCTTACCCACTATACCACCTGCTGGTGCTAAATACGATTTTTTTCTAAGAGATTAACATTACATAGTTAAACAGAAAACAAACAAAAAGCTCAGCAAGGGAAAGACATTTTCGATACCCATAGGAGGTGTGCTCATCGCCCGCCACCTGCCCGCACAGGCTGATGAGAACACCCTCCACAGACCCCACTGAGGGGAAACTGGGAGGCCGAGGGCTGGTGGCCTGGACCGGGATATTGGAGAGGGAGGGATGTGTGGGCAGTGCCAAGCATGCAGGGAACCAGAATCACTCGGGGGTGGTCTACCATCCCTACAGGTCTGGGTGAGACCTTGCAAACTGTATGTTTTGGTTTATCAAACAATTTTTTTCTTCTTTTTTAAAGATGCTGCAATGTATGTGTACTTGCTAGAGAGAGAGACAGTGTGTGTGTGTGAGAGAGAGAGAGAGAGAACGAGGGAGAGAGAAAGAAATCCCCCCCCAGAGGAGATGGTCATACTGCAATCCCTTCTCTTCCACTCTTCTTTTGGAATTTTGTGCACCCAGGTATTCACAGCCAGTGTGTTTTTTAAGCTGCTGGGTCCAGGACGACCCAGACTGCAGGCTCAGCCCTGTGGGATCCAGCCTCCTTAACCTAGCCACTTGGCCGGTCCTTATCAAGCAAGTCAAATGATCCTGCTGTTTTGGAAAGCAATGACCTTGACGAAGTATGGTCTCTTCCAACCCCAGGGTGACCTGACTGCAACTGGAACATTCTACTTCATTTAACACGGGACATCGTCAAGATGAGTAAATACGCAAACGTTCCTTTACAATTTGACATCGTAACCAGAAGAATATTCTTTTCTGTATTTTTAAGTTTATTTTATTTAATTTTTCATGAGCGAGAAAGACACGGAGAGACAGAGACAGAGAGAGAGCACCCCCAATGGGGTCCCAACACAGCCCCATCCCTGGCCACGGCCATCCCCAGATTGTAGGGGACATGCACCCAGTGTATGCAGGGAGGTCTCTGGACTTGAACCGGGACGCTTCCCGTGTGGGTGACCTCGCTCACTGTGCCACTGTCTAGCGGCTCTTTTCTGTATTTTTGAAAGAGCCACCTAAGGGTACTGAGAGCCAGATAATCATCTTAGATGTCTGTTCCAAAAGCCTGACCACTCCCGTCAGTAGGAAGGTTTTCCCATCCCCTTGTGGAATGCACAGGACAACTGTGGGCGAGGCTGTCCTGGTGCGAAACAGCTGCCAAATCTAGCAAAATCTGACATCCTGAGCTCACCCTCCTCAGGAAACTGTCAGTGGCCACTCAGGAGCCAGGGCAGAACATTTCTACTGCTGCTATGATACCAAGGTACAACATTTTTAGCGTCCCCCCCTTTTTTTTTCTTTTTAAGTTAAAGAATATTGAATCATTTCCCTAGTAAAAATCATAGGCTCAGGGCCAGCAGGTGACGTGGTGGTGAAAGCAGCTAATTCCCTCATGGCCAACCACGGTTCAACTCCTGGACCTGTGACTTGAAAATTACACTGGGAGTGTGCGCTTGCGTGGCTAAAATCCTAAGAGGAGAATGAAGAAGAAGGGAGTGAGGTGTGGCCATCCCCCCTGAAGGGTGACTTCTCACTTTCCCTCTCTCTGTCTCTCTCTGGCGAGCACACATGCCCTATGCCAAAAAACGAAAAAGAAAGAAGGCACAAACAGTCTACTTTAATATCAAAGTTACAAAAATTTACAATCAAATTTTAATTAGACAAAAATCTTCACAGCTTAAGGCTACAAAGGAAACATACAAATCATCTTTGTCCTAATGAGGATCCTTCATCCTCACCACCATCAGCACCACCCAGTAAACAGGCCACACAGTGGGTGCTTTCCACGGATCAGCCCCGTGACCCTCCTATGTGCTACCATGGTGAGCATGCCCATTTCACAGACGAGGAAGCCGAGGTACGAGCTAGCCACCTCTGCATGATAAAACACACATGGTCACTAAACGTGCCGGAATTTGAACGTACATGGACTCGCTTCGGAGACCACAGGGAAAGCCTGCAGCCCGACATCAGGTAAACAAACCTTGTATCTATTGAAGAAAAAGACCAATCAACTGCTATTAAAAAACAACAACAAAAAAAACTATCCTATCACAATCTAAAGATTGGTTTTTATCTCATTCGCTTTTAGCTTTAACTAAACAAACAATTTTTTAGACAAGTCCCACCTTATTTTTAAAGCCTTTTAAAATTATCCAAATTCTCCTGGCTGCTTCTCAAAATTCGATGATGTATTATTTAGCATAGGTTCCCTACCAACTCACAAAGCAAACTCGACACAACCCTGGATTGAATGACAGATTTGATTTCAATTTTATTGGCAGTTCCTTCTGTGTTTAATTAGTCATTTAGTTAAAGTCGAGGACTGGTTACTTTTTGCTTGTCACCTGTGGTATCAAAATGGAATATTCTAAAGCAAAAATACTTAATTACTTTCCTTCCGGAGAAGGTTGAATGAATCAGGAGTGTCACAAAGCAAATTTTCACTAGGGAGCTTGAAAGGTGAAGAAATCAAACAGGCTTTCAGCTCTTGTGGTTCACTCAAGGAAATATATTTGTGTATTTTCCATTTATTAATTTCTTTATTCCACAAATACTTATTGAGCGCCTTCTATTATACTAAGCATTGGAGCAGAAATATTAGCAATCCTTAATATCAAACGTAAGTACAAAAACATTTTCCAAATCTGATTAAGCTTTGTTAAAAGATATCCGCCTTTTTGAAATATTCTATTCTCGGGATCAGAAGTTGGCATGTCGCTGGACTCCCATGTAGTTGACTGCAGTTCAAGTCCCGGACCCAGTGGCTTAAACTCACACTGGGACGCGTGTGCGTGCGTGCCCAAGATCCAGAGAGGAGAATGGAGGAGAAGGGATTGCGGCATGACCATCCCCCCCTTTCTGTTACTCTGTCTCTGTCTTTCTGGTGAGCGCACGCGCCCTATAGCAAAAACCTCTCAAAAAAAAAAAAAATTCTATTTTCAAAATACTGGAGAATTCACCATACTTCAAATGAACTTGCACACTGACCCTCTTACGATTTCAACCTAACAAGTATAAACTGACGTTGATGCTTTTTTCTGCACACTTCGTGATGGCAACACATCAGACCCCATCTAAATAACAGGCTTCTAAGGAAGACCAAATATGGTTAGAAAACCGACTAAGGTCATTTCAGCATATACATAGGGGTCTTCTTAAATATTGTTTGAAGAAACTGTATTTTTATCTTTAAGACAAAAGTGTGCAAACCTTTGTATAATAGTGGGGCTCAGGCAATTATGAATATTATATATATATATATACATATGTGCAAAATATTCCAGAATCAAATAAAAGACATAATAAATGGATATAAAAGATAGTCCAGATACATAAAAACTTGCATTGAGGATCGGTAATCTGACATTAGCTTTGCTGGGCTGCCTGGACATTTGTTAAGTGTAAAGGGGTCTTGACTACGTCATCCCAACATGAGCCACCCTGGCTTAGAAATTATTTTGAGCCAAAAGCAAGGATCAGCATATGTGAGAAGAATTCTCTGCCTTCCTCTTCTTTGCCTAAAACAGGGCATACACCTCCGTTTGTCAAAATGTCCGCATCTCCTGTACCCCAGAGAGGAGGGCAGCTCCTCCGTGGAAATGGAGGGTGGGCACAGCAGGAGCCACGCACACGCACTTCGCTGAAATAACACTTATCTTCTATGGATTCCCCTCAGATGCTTCCGAGCCACCTCCCCACAGCTATCATCCCCAGAAGCCCACAGCCTCTTTCCTTGAAAAAGAAGGGTATACGACCTCCTAGGTCTAACTGCTGCTTTGAGTTTCACTTATTTTCTGTGAACCCCCATGCATGTAAATTATTAAAATTGTATTCCTCTCTCTCTCTCTTTTAAATTTGCTATAGGGCACATGCACTTGCCGAAGAGAGAGAAAAATCCCCTGGGGGGATAGCTATGCCACAATATCCTCTCCTCCATTTTCTTCTTGAGATTTTGGGCACACATGCCCATGTGCCTGCCTGGCATGTTTTTAAGCTACTGGGTCTGGGACTGGAACTGCTCAGTTTGCTTTATGGGATCCAGCACCTTAACCACCAGGCTGGACCCCTTTCCTCTGCTATGCTGAATTGTGCCAGTTAAATCTGCAGGCCCCTAGCCATGGAACCTAAGAGGGTAAGAAAGTATTTTCTCTCTCATATGTGTATGACAAGTGACATATTCTTTGTTATTTAAAAAAAGGATTTATTTATTTATTTAATTATTTTTTTGAGAGGTTTCTGCTATAGTGCACGTGCACTCACCAGAAAGACAGAGACAGAGAGACAGAAAGTGAGAAATCACCTTCTGGGGAAATGGCCACGCCACAATCCCTTCTCCTCTAGGGATCTTAGGCATGCACACACACGCGCCCGGCGTGAGTTTAAGCCACTGGGTCTGGGGCTCAAATCGTGGTCGACTATATGGGAATCCAGCGACATAGTCATTACACCAACTGCTGGTCCCAATAGGTTTTATTTTTAAATTTAAATAACATATTAGTCAATTCTTTTGCCCAATTCTAAAGTAAGAGTACAGAGTGGGACCTGCACATACCCAAGCAATACTATTCTTCTGCCTAGGGCCATGCCTACTCAGAGGTCAAGACTCTGGTTAGTTCTAGAACATTTTCTCGTGTGCCAAGGTCCTCAACAAGTATGTGTACAGGTGTGTGCAACATGTTCTCTTTGATACTTTCTGGCTACTTAAACCTAAGCCATCTAAAGAACAAGCAAATTTACATTAAGAAACTCTGTCCAGTTATTCAAGAATGTTTATAAAGTCTGTGAAGGCAAGCCATTTCTGGAGATTCCTTGGAGGGCTCCTACTAGGTGACAGTGACTGTGAGGTCCAGGTATCCTCCAGTGTATCTGGTCTGCTTGCTGCTGGTGGGCTCCATATTTTCAACAGGGATTAGACTTCTCTGAAATTGGTTCCTGAGAGGCTCTCTGTGGAACGAGGGGGAAAAACAAAGCTGGCCAAAGCAGGCCGAATTTGACAGCAAAAGGAGGTATAAGAGTTACAAGACTGAGGCTTGCTAGAATATTCTGCAATCTAGCCAAGAGGTTTTCAAGTCCTAAAACACCAGTCACCACGTCATGGGCCATACGGAAATGCCCTGCTAATTAGATAAAATGATGGAGGACGCACTGCCGGGGCAGACTGTGCAGAGATGCAAGTCTGTTTCCACAAGCAGCAGAGGAATGTTCTCATGGGAGGCTAGCTAATCCAGGCCTCTTCAGGATGGGAGAATGTTTAACAAATTCGATCTTAGTGAAAGCTCCGTAAGAAGCCAAAACCCAGCAGCTGCTCACAGTACGGACTGGGAACCAAGACCTCAACTCATAATTCCTGGACAAGAGGGATCTATTGTACAGCTCGTCAGATTCGAGTTTTACTTCATGCCCAGAAAGCTGTGGAAGGGAAAACACACTCTTTTCTGACTACAATAAGCTGTTTGCAGCTCTCAGGCAAAACAAGGCCTGCGGAAGAGAAGAGGCAGAGTCTCCGGAGCCTCGGGCAGGATTGTTCTGGATTAGTGGTTACACAAAGCAGAAGTCAAAGCACGGTCAGGCCCAAGTGTTCCTCAGCTCCCTGCTCACACGATCCAGGGAGTCTGGGCAGCCTGGGCCCTCGCAAGCTCTGACAAAGCTCAAATGCCATCATTCTACTCATGCGTAACCATCCGGATACAATCCGCGGTCCAGGCAGACCCCAGAGAATGGCCGGGCCTTTTCACAGGCGGTAGGGTCTGCCCGGAACCCTCTGCTACCGCTCCCTTCCAGGCTACAAATGAGCTCTCTCAGCACATCTTAAGTGGAGAGCTGGCATGGCCACAGTGCATCAGCTGCTCCTAAGCAGGTAGGAGGAGGATTTTGTGCTAAAAGTAGCAACTCAAGATCCAGGTAGCTTTGCCATTGCCTAAGTAGTCCAGAAGGGCAACAATTAAATCCCTCAGTGGAAGATAATCAAACAGAGAAGGAACAATGGTGGTGGCTCGAGACTCTAATATATGTATATATACCCACATATATATTTTTAAGTTTACTGGTTCATCTTTACCATGAGCGAGAGAGACACAGAGAGAGAGAAAGAGAGAGAGACAGCACCCCCCACAGGGTCCCGATACTGCACACCAGGCTCAGCCTGAACACAGGAGTGCCTGAAGTGCTCAGGGAGGTCTCCGGATGCAAACCTGGAACCTTCCCATGGGGTCGCTGAGGCTCTAGAATTTACACAGGAAACTCTTCAAATTAATGATACTCTGAACTTCTCAGAGAACTGACAGAGACATTAGGCACACACATTTGTATTTCCATTTTCCACAGCTATATTCCTTGTTCAGGAATATACGTTTTAGGAGATGTTCACCACCAGAGAAGCAACGTGTTCAAACGGGTTGTGTGTCACAACCCAGGCCTGTGTGAGAAGAACGAGGAATGTGAAGTTCGGGGTTTTGTGTAACTTGTGGGGCTGTCAGCGTTTAATGACTCTTCTGCCAAAATGATTTTGTTCAGTTAAAACTAAAACTAACCAGACGTATGACAAATATTTACAGTCAGGGTCAAGAGTGTTTACTCTTCGGCAGTTAGCTTTTTACACAAAAGAGTTTTGACCAAAGATGAACTTAATGTAGCCAGGGCTGGTATTGAGTGCTCCCTGGGCGAGACCTTAAACTAAGTCCCCGTTTCCACTTGACTGAATTGGTCACAGATACACTGGGTTATCAGCAAAGTCGTGCTGTAATTTTCTATGTTTCTTTAAATGCAAAAGTGCATCATGACTTTTCCAGTGACTCGGTAGACGATGAAGTCTTCTCTTCATGGCAATACCTATTTTTAAGGCCAGCACACACATACAATATGATATGGTTCCCCTCAGAAAGCCAGAACTGCCAAATTATTACCACATCTCTAATTTTAAATTTGAGTTAATGAACACCAAAGCAGAGGCTGAGGTTGGATTTAAATTTTCCCTCTACTAAAATTAAACTAGAGTCTCATGGACTCATTTTCCCCTATTGCCAGTGGCAAATGCCATTTTCAGCCATGTAAGTGGATTTTTTGGGGGTTGTTATTCCTATGCACACATACATACATGTGCGATACATTTATAAACCAAGGTAACCGAGAAGAAAAAATTACCAGATTCTTCTAAGGAGAACAACAGCTCTTCCCACAAAATAAATGCTACCTAGAAATCAGTTCCATGTTTCAGAATACAGTCATTTTTTAAAGATCCTTTTTCGTATTGTAGCATTATAAAAAAACTATCAAACCTGTGTAATAGGAAATCCCTCTCTACAAACATATATGTATATTTAAAAAGTTATCAGTGGACACATGAAAATCAGTAAAACTTACAGATATCCATGGTTACGTTGTTGTATCTTGACTTATCAGGTGAAGATGAAAGAGGAAAGGCAATGAGAAAAAAGATGAGAAAATAGAAGAAAAATAGAGATGAAAAGGAAAACAGAGAAATAGAACAGGAAGAGATAGAAGAGGAAGAAGAAGATTGGAAAGAGGAAAGGGAAGGGAGAGAGAGAAGAGGAAGAGAAGGGGAAAGAGGAGGGTGAGCAAGAGAACAACCTCCTTATACTGTCGGCAGACGGTCACCCACCCTCTGACGAACCAAATAAGGCAGGTGGGAACTCGGATAGTCAACTGTGCTGGTTATTTTAAAAACAGCCATTGGGCTCAACAGCTGAGCTGGATTACTTCTGATATATAGTCACCTAATCCAATTAAAACCACTTATTCATCTACTCTTTTTTTTTTTAAGTTTATTTATTTCTCCCATGACAGAAGGAGACACACACACACACACACACACACACACAGGCGTCCCCAACGGGGTCTTCATGCAGCAACCGTACGGCAGCCTCAGCAGACCTGGATCATGGGTACATGCATGCGTGCCTCGTGTGTTCAAAGGGATCTCAGGAGGAGGACCCGGGACCGTCTGCATGGCCTCAGCTTTGAAGAGTGCTGGACTACCCGCTATGTCACCCCGGCTGGCCTCATTCATCTACTCCTGAACTGGGTGAGTGAGGAATTGCCCCCGCCTCGTTATGCCACATATTTTATACCAGACTACTGCCTTCTTTGAAGACACAGGGAAGTCCTGTCCTTCTGGAAAGCCACTCTACTCTATTTTGAGATTGGTTGAAAAGAAATGCAGCAGAGAACGCTGGTCCTTCCTGTGCTATTTATTCTATGGACAAGGACCTTGGTGGGTCCTACATGCCGCCTCGGAATCAACTCAGAACCAGCTCGAAAGGAGGATGGCTTACTCCCAAGGAGATTTCCCCAAGGAAAGCTCACTGGGTTGGAGGGGCACTGCAGACTGAGGAGTGCACAGATGCAAAGCAAAGGCCGAGTGGGGAAGGCCCATGGCACGCAGGGACGAGGCGGCCACTGCGGTCCAAGCCCAGGGTGCAGAAACAGTTTCTGTCACAGGAGCATAGACGAAGGTCAGCAAGAAGACAGAACCAATCCACTCTAACAGGCATCACCACCTCTTTCCACAGAGATGCCTAAGGGTCAGAGTCCGAGCTCACCAGGCTTCCAAAGGACATTGTGACAGCTACCTGGTCTCACAGGCTGGGGGAGGTCCAGCTTGCAAATCTGGCTAGCCCAGCCTGCCCCACCCCTTCTCAGTCCTAGTCTTTCCTCCAGCTCAACATTGCCCACTCTACCCAGAGTTCTCATCCTCTTCCTTTTTGGGGTTCGTTTTAATAACAAATGTTATGAGGAAAAGCTAAGCGCGCGCACACACACACACACACACACACACACACATATGTATGCAAACTGGAGACTCAGAGCAACAAAGAACCTTAGAGGTGGTGCGGCCAACGCCCTTATTTTTCAGATAAGAAAATTCCTGAGAAGTAATGACTTGCGTGAGCTCACAGGCCCTATTGCTCCTCCCTCACATCCCGAATGCAGATGGCTATGAGCTGTAGACGTCTAGGGGGAGCACACACTATCCTGAGGAGCCACAGTACACACTCAAAATCCCTGGGACAGGGAATAAATGAGAATGGGTGAGGCTCACTCAATAGGCACAAGATCTCACAAACACCCGCATCCCAGAGTCTCCTGATCAGATGCCTCATGACCCTGGCTTTCTAAGGATGGTTTTAGTTTATATTCATAACTTTAAAAAAGTTCAGAGCAAAAGCATAGGAAAGACCATTTAAGCTAATTCCTTTTTTTTCCTTTGAGAGGTATTTTTTTTTTTTCTATAGGGCGTGTATGTTTACTCCAGAAAGACAGAGGGAGACAGAGAGACAGAAAGCAAGAAATCACCCTCCAGGGGTGATGGCCATGCCGCAATCCCTTCTCCTTTATTCTTCTCTCAGGATCTTGGGCACGCACGCACACACACCCGACATGAGTTTAAGCCACCAGATCTGGGACTCGAACCGTGGTCAGCTACATGGGAGTTCAGCAACATAGCCATTATGCTAACTGCTGGTCCCTACCAGCCAGTGCTGACCCAGATCTCCCGGCTGCCCTGACTTGTCAGAGGTGGGTGGGGCCCAGTAAGGAGTCGGAGGTCCAATGGTGGTATCCACAGAGTTCCAGGCAGCTGAAGACTCTCACTCTTAGCCAAAGCAGTAGAAAATGACTGTCATTTCTCACACATTTGCTCTTTTGGAAAGTCACCGCCTCTTTAAGAAAAGTTATGAAAACAGTGAATCCTTTCCTTCAATGAGCTTTATAGGAAATGCGAATCCTTTCCTTCAATGAGCTTTATAGGAAAAGGGACATTTCAGAGAACTTTCTGAAAATATTCCAACCTTCTAAAGCCTGTTCAAGGACCTCGCTTTGAAAACATCTGACCAACAAAATTACTTTATACACTGGTTCTCTGAAACCCACTTCCTTGCAGTAACGTTTTGGTTTCATCTGTCCTACGTTACCTGTCAGCGTTGTTT